AGGGATCGGCTTCGCGAGGCGGGGCAGAAGGGCAGAGATCGGCTTCACAAGGCGGGGTAGAAGAGGGAACATCGCCCTTAACGCGATCCTTAACGCGGGCCGCGGGGTTGATCCCGCTGCCGGCCTTTCGCTATGTTTAATAGTAGAAATGCATCCCATAAAAGTCAAAGGTGAATCATCAATAACAAGGCATTCTTCATTGATATAGTTTCATGGCAACTAAATTAGAAATTAGTTATCAGAGTGTGATTCAAACTTAGCTAAAAAGAAGACTATTTGCCAACTTCTTCATAGATCTTACACAAATTATATCTGGAATTAGCTCTATTACAAGTCATAGCTTCGTCAAAATAGTTGGATGGAGGGAACATGATTTGTTTTATATGATGGGAATCAAAATATGAAATAGTCAACCAAAGTGATCAATGCTCCTTCCTTTGATGTCTGGATTCGGATGAATATTACAATTTTCAATGTTGTGTATTGGTTCATCATATAATTTATTCACTAGTGAGTGTATATGTGTTTTAACTTTATCACTTGAAATGATAAGAGCACTTTATATTAAGGGATAATTACATACATAATACTAAATATTGCATATAAAATACTTTTTAAGGCTCATTTCATTTCTTTCATAAGAAGAAAAACTTTATTAGAAAATAATAACATAACTGTCACTCATTTTGAATATGAAAGTAAAACGTATGATAAATTTAACTTGATAACATTTCGGTTCTTATATTTATTTTTATCATAAATATAATGATTATCAAGGATGAATAATCTTTTAATTGAATTCTAATAAAATGGCTACGTAAAATTATTAGTTCCATATGTTATTAATCACATAAATATAAATCATGATACTTACATTATATTAAAGGTGAGAATAATATTTCTCAAAAAATGTTATTGATTACTTTTTTTCCTAAAAAATGCATGAAAAATGCATAATATTGAAACGCCTCAACAATAGTATTTACTCGATATTGTAATTCATTAAAATAAAACACATAATACAACACATACATCATAAATAAACTTTAAGATTGATAAATCCGCTCACGCGCACACGCCTCCCCAGAGGCCACACACGGACACTGTCACACGCACACGCAGGTGCACAACCATTCATGCATACATACGTACATACATACATACAGAAATACACACAGACACACACACAAATATATATATATATATATATATATCATTAAATCACACATTAATGGCAATATGTCTCACCCATCCTTCTTGTAAATTTTGATATCCCTCCATCTTGATTCCATATAATAGCTATCATCATGTTGTGCATAAACACCACATTTGAAATAAAAGTCACTTGTGCCTTTTCCATCTACTTCAAGCTTTTTAACACCATTAATAAAAGTAGTCAACTTGTTAGCATCAACATCATGCACGACATTCACTCTCACCCATCTATCATAAAAATTAGACTCCACAACTTCTCCAGAGTAGAACCTCAATTCTCCATTAAAAATCATAAGCATCAAGTCCGTAGCCGGTTTCTCTCCATCTGCTCGATGAACTTGCATTATAGATGTGCCACTTGTTCCACTTGGCACAAAAACATACCCCTCAAACTGCCATATTCCGCTAGAATAATCATAGCCCTACAACACATTAATTTCAAAATAATAAATTAAAAATAATAAAGTTTTTGAAAATTATGTTAAAAATTAAGCTTGAATGTACACATATACGAATTCAGTTACTTTGATACGAATCTCGGTTCGAGGATCTGTTGGACTTCCAGCTTTGAATGGCTTGTCAGTGGAGTACACCCACAGACGATGTACACCATTAACATAACTATAGCGATCTGCTAAAGGAACATTATATGGCTTCTGCAGCTCTAAATTGGCATCAGATAACTGCAAAGGAACAAATCCATCAGTTGGCTCAGCGTTGCAGAAAGAAAAGTCAGAATCCTTCATTATGCTGAAAGAAGCTAAAAGTGTTAGGAAGTGCAGCCAAACAGGTGAGGCCATTGCTGGTTGTAACTGCAAGGGATTTAGTTTATTTCCAAGAACTTGAGAGAAATAGAGCAATATCACGGCTATTTATAGCACTTGAAATCTAGTAAAGGTTCGATTAATTAGCAATACTGATTTGTTATGGTTCCGTTTATCTTGGTGGCCTAATTAGCTATAAAACTCACCGTGCTTAGCACGTTGATTAACACATTTCTCTCCCACATTGGAAAAAATCTTACTTCAGCTTCGTAACTAACCCGATGTCTCTAAGTATAATATATCCAGCAGACTTAATATTTTCTCCTAAAATGATAGGGCAATGTTACGTACTTTAAGCGGGCTCTATTATAAAAGCTGGTCTCCTGTAGCATTGTTGACCTTTGTATTCGTTGACGTTCTAAGTTTGTTTAAAGACTAAAATTTGTATTGGCAGATGCGTACTTCCATAAGTTGATTGCCAGTAATAAAGTCTCTGATTAATGATTGGATGTTGCTATCTTACAATCTTCGACGGTGTTTGTGTAATGAAGATAATGAACAGTAAAACGACTCGTTAAATCATTCAGAACGAAACTTTGGAGCACGGCATTATTTTTTCTCTCGAAACAATGACACTGATTGGGAAAAATTATGTGGCATGGATTTACTGGTCGTAGTGCGAGAACAAAGCATCGCCGTTGAATATTTATCAACCAAATGCCTACACAGGTTATGCTAATTTTGATAAGATATAGGGATCATATTGGCTGCCTGATGTAAGATGTTGACGAAACACCACAAATTTACGATAAACATTTCATTCTTCGTGAGCAGCAATCCAACTTTGCAAACACAATACAAACCATATATTTAAATTCAAAAATAATATAAATATACATTATAGTGCTACATAAAATATTCGCTTCGGGCTGAAGGCCTATAATCTTTGTTAGAATTAATTCTGCAATGTGTTTGATGTGCAAATGATTAATTATTAGTTTTACTACATAGTTGATAAAAATACTCTGTATGGCCTATTTATAATTGATCATGACTAATATAATGAGTAACTTCTCTCTCTTTTTGGAGAAGATATTACATGCAGTATCTATACATGCGATTAGGAGAGTATATCTTGAGTACATTGTGATTAGTATACTACGAGTACACCCTGAATACACCTAGTGCATCCTGAGTATATTCCGAGTGCACCATGAATATATTTCGAGTACACCCCGAGCACACCTCGAATAAACTAATATGCACATGCACATTCATTCAAACATAATATTTTCTTCTCTTATCGACATTAGAACTCCACAACTTTAACTTCTTAAGCCACACTTGGCAAAATTTTAAAAATAAATTTTTAAAAACTTAATATTAAATAAAGAGAAACTAAAAATAAGATCTGCAAAATGGGCAAAGCCTGCCACATGACATTTTTCTTTTTTGAATTAACCACGTCCTGCTTGATTATATAATAGAACAAAAATACAGGTAAAAAAACAAGTCTCAACTTAAGGGAAAAAAGAAAGCAAAACAATTATATCACAAGACTGATCAAAAATGAAAAGAACAAGCAAAAAGAGAATAAAATAAGATCCAACTTGTCCAATTGAACAATTGAGAGATCAACCTCAGTAAGAAAATCTATCCTAAGACTCCATCCAGACTATCAAGCAAATCAAATAGTGAAAACAAAGCAACAAATTAGCCATTAAATTTAAGTTGTGACTAAATGAAAAGGAAGCAAACATTCATGTCATATATACGTACCCACAAAATGTATCAATAAACTCTTACATATAGAATAGCTTGTCTCCAAAATTCCAGCCAAAAGCGAAATTGACACTTAGAAAGCTGGTTGAAATTCATAGTAGTGTTGTAGTTAATCATTGCTCTCCAAAAAAATTAGAATTTGAGAGTGCAAGAATCCTGCCCAAGACAAAAAAAATGCTCAGGTGAATCCATTGTCAAAGAAATATAATTGTCCCAAATGATCCATCCTTTGGAATATGAATGTCTTTCACCAGAATATCAAACAAAATATAGAAGAGGAAAGTGTCAGATGATCATTATAGCTCAAAAACCTAATAAAGTGAAGGGGAGATTGAAACCAATAAGCAGCCAGCATACTCCAAGAAAATAAAAAGAAATAAATTTTTGTTTTCACTAGTACATATTAAAATATGTGTGAATTATAAAATAAAAAGAGATATGATGTGCTGAGGGATTTTATTTTTGAATTTTCATCATCTACATTTAAATTTAACTACATTCAGTATATTTCTCAAAACAACTTTAGCACTAGATGTCTCTTTTTTGAAAATATGTACTCCTTTCAAGTTACAGATGGTGAGTTGTGATTTGGATGGCCAAAAGTGAAAACCTTCTAGTGATTTTGTAGTTGGTTGAGTCAGCTTGTACCAAATATTGTTGAAAGGCAACCCAAAAGAAAAAAAATTGACCCATAAGAGCAGAATGTTGTAGGAGATAGAATGAGAAAAGACAATAAAAAAATGTGTATGAGTTTAACAAAAGCTTTTGCAGAAAATACATAAGTTATGTATATAGAAACCTTTAGAGACCAAAATATCTAAACTAGTTAGGCCTTTTACAAGGACTTTCCAGACAAAAGTTGAGTATTTTAGAGAGTAAACCTTAAACTAGAGCCATTTGTGCCAAGAAATTGATGGCATTTCCTTGGTAAGACTATTTGTTCCTTTCCGCAAAATATTGAGCCCAGAGGATGAATTAGAAATAGAAGTTTTTGGAAAGTGGTTGATCCATTCAAGAGACTCAATGGGGGGAGGGGTGTGTATTTTTTGCAAAAGCTTTTGTGAAACTCAAATACATCTTTTTTTAGTGCATTTTCTCCTTCTATCTCCTACAACATTCTACTCTTATGGATCAATTATTTCTTTTGGGTTGCCACCTTCAAAAATATTTGGTACAAGCTGACTCAACCATCTAGAAAATCACTTGAAGTTTTTGGAATGTGGTTGATCCATTCAAGGGACTCCATAGGGGGATAAATCCTCTAATCAGGGGTCATAATAATAAGAAAGGTTGCAATTGCAAATAACCTGAAAAGTACGACATTGCCATATTCTCTTCACAAGATTTTTAAAATCCTTCCAGAAAACAAAATCCCTAGTTGAAGGTTGAATAACAGAGCATTTTTTGGAAAAGAACCAGCAAGAAAGAATGTTATTAGAATTGCAAACCCTCCACACAATCTTACTTTTACTTATAACACATATAATATCAATGTTAGGGAGGCCTAACCCACTACATTGTTATTCTAATCGCCTTTTTAGCTGCATGTATGTGCCTTAATACTAGCTCAAATAAATACTTTCCATAAACGACTTCAAACTAATTGTTCTGATTCTCTAAATATTACATCATCCTTATACCATTTCACTTTTTCTACACAAGCAAAAAATCAAACTTTTTTCTTTCGCCATGGGAGAAATTTCTCATGGTCATTTTTGAGAGAGATTGCACCAAGAAAAGAAAATAACACGAAAGGTATGAAGGAAAAGCCAATGGGATGAAAGCAATGTATATGAGAGCACTGCAGGGCGAGTTTCCCAGGGAGAAGAAAGGCAGAAAGCCAGTGAAGACGGGCTTAAGATTATATAGTGGGCAAAGCATTTCTCGATGCCACATGAAAGATTTAGGGATGGGAGGAAGAGTAATGACGTAGCAAAGTTGTACGTGATTTTTCCCATTTTGCAAAGTTTTTTTTTGTCATTTATAAGGCTTTTTAATTATGTATACAATAAATGAGTATTATGAGAAGAGGTTGAATTCTATAATACAACATATGAATATATTATTATTATTTTTGGTTTGATATATAAAGATTGGAGTGTCGTGTCTTAATGGCTTGAGTTTACTATTAACCTCATTTTTGGTGAAGGGCAGTCGACATCTTGCTCGTTGAACAACTTTGATTGGACGACAGATCGTGTTCATCGCGTCACGAAAGCGATTCAAACTTAAATTGGCTTGTCCATCAAGGAAGTTGTCTGAATGACCCCGGATGATAAAACAGACCACGCGAACACATCCAAAATATCGATTTTAGTCAGGAATGACACCCATATTACCAAGGTTCCGTGCACACACAAAAAATGTGCAAAATGAAAATTTTAAGAAACAAATATTAAAAACATAATAAAATTAAAAAAAATGAACCTTAAATCCCTAAAATCACGCACATGTCTAGGGATCCCTCTCCAAATCGTGACTCTCCTTGATCACGAACCCTAACTCCCAATCGTGAAAATCCTTCGCTCGACTCTCCTTCATGAACCTTAGCTCTTTCACGCTGCTTTCCATGTCGTGACTAAAGTCCACCTACCGGTGCTCCTCCTTGGTTGTCTACCCCTCGCTGACAACTTCCCGCGGCTTCCTGACCTCTCCCTCTCCTTCTATCCTATTCTTCTTCTTTGCAACTGGAATCTTGCCCTAGCAACGCACGACCCAACCTATCCCTGCACGTGGCATCCTTGCTGGAGACTTCATCAACAGTTCTCTTCCCTAGCCAGCTTCTTCCTCTCATGAGCCGCTTCCTCCTCCCGTGAGCCTCTTCCACCTCGACGGCGTAGCTTTTTGGTCTGAGAGACTCTTGCACGAACTTCATTTATCTCGACATTGCAATTTCTTAGCTCAAGAGCCTCATACTACGAGCTTCTTCTACCTCGGTGGCGTGGCTTCTTGGTCTGAAAGCCTCCTACCACGAGCTTCATTATCATCGGCGAACACCGACAACATCACAACATGGAAAAAAAAAAGTGTGGACGCCTCTCCCTTTTAGATGAGAGCTTCTTTTAGGACTTTGTTGGACATTCGCAAATTTCACGATGGTGAGATTTTCCTCCCCAACATTTTTGTTCTTAGCTAGCCCTAGGATTCAATGTTGCTAGGCGTGTGGGTTCGATCGTCCACAAGGGGTACATGCAATGACGCAACCATGTGCATATGTGATGGATTGTTTTCTTTCTTAGAACGAGCCTTTAGGT